GGTTAGAGATAAGGTCTCACTATGTTGCCCAGGCTGGAGTGCAATGGCATGATCACGGATCCCTGCAGCCTTTAACTCACCCCAACTCAGCCTCCCGAGTAGCTGGGACTATGGACACTATGCAATTAGGCACAGCATATTTGCACGAAAACGAAGTTTTTGGCCAGGCGTGGTGGCTCAAGCCTGTAATCCCAGCCCTTTGGGAGGCTGAGGCAGGTAGATCATGAGGTCAGGAGACCAAGACCAGCCTGGCCAACCTGGTGAAGCCCCGTCTCTCCTAAAATACAAAAAATTAGCCAGGCCTGGTGGTGAAAGCCTGTAGTCCCAGCTACTTGGGAGGCTGAGGCAGGGGAATCGCTTGAACCCAGGAGGTGGAGATTGCAGGGAGCAGAGATCGCGCCACTGCACTTCAGCCTGGTGACAGCAAGACTCTGTCTCAAAAAAAAAAAAAAGAACAAACTTTTGAAAGTATACCAAAGTATAGATAATGGAGATGGCACAATGTCCTCACATAATGACCCCAAATTAGCAGATCAAACAGAAACAAGAAGCAGTAAGAAATAACAATAACACAAAACTTTTTTGAAACCACACTCATCACAGCCTTTTTAAGCATAAAAACTTATGAGACATAAACTATCCAGCCACAGGAGAGCTTGCTCACTCAGCATACATTATTTATTTGAAGTACTGTGGTATTTTGAGTGGACACTTAGTAAGACTCAGTAAATGTTAATTTTACCAGCTCTACTCCTCAGCCACCAGACAACCTTGGGAAAGTGACATAATTTTGCTGAATTTCATTTTCTTTCTGTAAAGTCTAGTTGCTATATCTGTCCTATCTACTTTTCAGAATTCTTGTGAGAACACCTATTTTTTAACTGCAAATCATTACACAAAAATAAGGTAGTAGTATTTACTGCCTGAAAAGGAAGGGGGGGCGGAAACTAGAAAGCATGGTAAATACAGCCAGGTGTGGTGGTTCACACCTATAATGCCAGCACTTCCAGAGGCTGAGTTAGAAGGATCACCGGAGGCCAGGGGTTTGGGACCAGCCTGGGCAACAAGACCCATCTCTACAATAAAAAATTTAAAATAAATTTTAAAAAATAAAATACAAAATAAGTCTAAATGATAACCATACATGTAAATGAGCTAAATAATAACAACAAATATGAGTGGTTTTGACCCACTTCTTTAAAAAGTGGATGAAAATAGAATCTGGTATTATTTACTTTTCACCTCCATGAACCACTGATATGAACCCTTGGTATTTCTCCCTAATAATTTTATAGGATGAATATCTTTTATCCAAAATGCTTGGGACCAAAAGTATTTGGAATTTGGGATATTTTCAGATTTTGAAATATGTGTATATATATAATGAGGTATCTTGGGGATGAGACCCAAGTCTAAACACAAAATTCATTTATGTTTTATATATACATCTTATACACATAGCCTGAAGGTAAATTTATATAATATTTTAAATAATTCTGTGTGTGAAACAAAGTTTGTGGTAAGTACTTATGTGAGAAATTTTCCACTTGTGGTGTCATAGCCATGCTCAAAAAATTTCAGGTGTTGAAGCATTCTGGATTTTAGATTTTCAGATTAGGGACGCTCAACCTGTATTATGTCTCCTCTTCTAACTGTATGTTAGCCAAACAAAGGGTTAAGCGTCGATTTTCAGGAGGCATTTATTGTTGTGCATTATATGCACATCTACACATATGCTTTTTTGTTTCTTTTCATAAAGGGCACTTTCTTGAAAATTCATGGGCTACTGTACTTGAATTAGAGGCAAGGGGGATTGGGATACATTGACCTGGAGCTTCATAAAATCTACGATCTGAGATTGTCAATGCAGAATCCCAAGTCCCTTAAAGGTTCAGATCTACTAAGTAACAAATCAAATACCTAAAAAACAAGTGAAAAACTGAGTAAACAGAAGTGTTCTTCTACATCTCAATCTTCTTTCCCACTATTTAATAAGTCTAAATAATAATCATACATATAAATGAGCTAGTCAATAACAATAAATATGAATGATTTTGACCCATTTCTTTAAAAAGTGGATAAAAATAAAATCTGGTATTACTTATTTTCACCTATATGAACCCTCGGTATTCCTCCCTAATGATTCAATAGAATGGGTATCTCTTATACAAAATGCTTGGGACCAGAAGTGTGACTTTTTGGTAACTGTCTTCCTTCATTCCTCTTCCCATAGGAACTGTGATTAGAAAAGGGACGTAACGGCAAGGTGCGGTGGCTCATGACTGTAATCCCAGCACTTTGGGAGGCCGAGGCGGGCGGATCACGAGGTCAGGAGCTCAAGACCAGCCTGACCAACATGGTGAAACCCCGTCTCTACTAAAAATACAAAAATTAGCGCACACCTGTAATCCTGCTACTCAGGAGGCTGAGGCAGGAGAATCGCTTGAACCTGACAGGCGGGGTTGCAGTGAGCCGAGATCTCGCCACTGCACTCCAGCCTGGGTAGCAGAGTAAGACTCCGCCCCAAAAAAAAAAGAAAAAAAAAAAAAAGAATAGAAAAGGGCCTTATGACAAAGGGAAAACATAGGAATGACCTTTTTGAAAACCCCGAGGTAGACCCAATTCAAATGAATCTGCCCCATCCAGATTGGCCGGTCTATTAGTTTAGGTCTGTGAAAATGGTACTATAACTATGTCTTACCATTTCCTCACAAAGTCACAGGAAACGAGACTCGCTAAAAGAAAATAAAAGTAAAAGCAAAAATTAGATTCAACAGGAATCAAAGATATGATCAAGATAGCATCACAAATCAAAAGAGAAAGGAGTTAGAAAAAGAATTATTTGGGGAAATGGCCAACTTAAATATTTCATACTATGTACCAAAATAAACCACAGGTAAATCGAGGAGTTAAATAGTTTAAAAACTGAATTAAAGGAAATAAGAGAATGTCTACTTGATCCCTGAATTTTAATCTTCTAGTGTTAAAGGTGACAAAAGATATAAAGGACAATACAAATAGATTAAAATAAATTTCTGTGTCAAAAATTAAAACTTAAAGATGACAGAAAAATTTGGAGAAATATTTGGCAATAAATATGATAAATGGTTAATGGTCTTAACATTTGAAGAATATAAAAGTATAGATTATAAGAAAAACACTAAGTGTCAAAATTAAATAGACAAAGGATGGGAACAGAATTCTCATATGATGACATATAAAGAGCTAATAAACATAAGAAAAATTCATCAGCACTACAGGAAAAGTTAAAAAGGAGAGAGAGAGAGAGAACATTCAAACTTGCTTGTAATCAATGCAAAAAGTGAGATTTTTCTTTAAATGAGCAAATTAGCAAAAATTTTTTACAAAGTATAAAGACGTTGGAAGGGTAAGATGAAATGAGTCCTCTTGTTCACTGCTGATAAAAGTCTAAATTAGCCTATTTTCTAAAAAAATAATTTGATCGTACAAATCAGCAATGTTTACATTCCTTAGTCCAATTCTATTTATAGAAATGGACCCTAAAGAAATAATTCCAAGTGTGGGCAAAGATGTATGCACAAAAATCTTCATTGTGGTATCTTCAACAGTGGGAAATTAGGTAATCCTGAAATGTTTAAAACAGAAGAAATGGTTAAGCTAATGAAAAATCATGTTTACACTCATAAGTGGGAGTTGAACAATGAGAACACATGGGCACAGGGAGAGGAACATCACACACTGAGACCTGTCAGGGGGTGGGGGCTAGGGGAGGGATAGCATTAGGACAAACACCTAATGTAGATGACGGGGTGATGGATGCAGCAAACCACCATGGCACGTGTATACCTATGTAACAAACCTGTACATTCTGCACACGTACCCCAGAACTTAAAGTATAATTTAAAAAAAGAAAAGAAAAATCATGTTTAGAAGCTGATTTTTTTTTTTTTAATATGGAAAAATGTAGGCGACCCCATAGGCCAAAGGCCTATCATAATAGGCCTTATGATGATGGATTGCTACAGAGTCTTTGCTTGGGAGTTTTTAATCCCATCTAAGAGTTTTGAAATAACATTGTCTAAAATGTTTTTGGTAAAGAAAAGTGGGTGCGCTACAGCTTCAGAAAGACATGGCTCAAAGCTCAGTTTTGTTGCTTACTCCACTATATAATCTTGGGTCAATTAATTTCTCTGAGATTCAGTTTCTCCTTCTCAGATATGAGGATTAATAGGTTTAAAGATTAGTGATAAACAGCCGGGTGCCGTGGCTCATACCTGTAATCCTAGCACCTTGAGAGCACAAAGCGGGCTGATCACCTGAGGCCTGGAGTCCAAGATCAGCCTGGCCAACATGATGAAACACCATCTCTACTGAAAATACCAAAATTAGCCTCTCATGGTGACACGCGCCTGTAATCCCAGCTATTTGGGAGGCTGAGGCAGGAGAATCGCTTGAACCTAGGAGTCGGAGGTACCGGTGAGCCAAGATCACACAACTGTACTCCAGCCTGGGCAACAAGAGCAAAACAACTCCATCTCAAAAAAAAAAAAAAAAAATTAGTGATAAACAACACAAGATTAGTGTATACATATATATCACTTATATATATATATATATGTAAAGCATCTTACATATAGTAGATAAATGGTAATTACAATTATTGGTTACAACTTCTGTGTATCAATGGCTTAAATAGAGCATTGTAGGAAACACAATTAATCATTCAACCAACTTGTGATTTGGCTCCTACAGGCAAGCATGGTGCCAGAATGGAGAGAACACAAATGAGGAGGGCCTCTCTTCTCAAAAAGTGTACGGTCCAATGGGAGGCAGATTATGAACTTAAACAAAAAAAGTAAATGGAACTTTTAAATTCAGGTATTTTCTATTGTTCCAGACCTAAGGGAAAAGGGAGAGTAGTCTATAAAAATGTCCCTCGCGGCCAGCTGTGCTATCACCCATGAAAATGGCAGTGCTTATTCTACGGACTTTTTAGGTATTACCAATCTTGCCTTTCAGCTTTATGACCTGACACAGGTCAGAGAGTCAGTAAAAAACTGAATCAGTCCTAAAAGATCATCTATAAGTACTGATAATGTGAATGAATAACTCTTTGCTATTTTCTTTCGTGCTATAATTTCTCCCATAGGTAAAGCTTTCACTCTTTATTTTAGAAAACACACTTTTGATGTTATCTCACTAACTGGGAGGATGAAATAGCTCTCAGGTGGCTGTTCTTAGCTAATGACCCAAGCAAAGCAGTGTTACGTGGTTTCCAAATTTGTCCGCAGAATAGAATCACCTGGAGATCTCTTACACCCTACAAGTCCCAGGCCACATCTCAGACCAATTAAGTCACAATTTCTGGGGAAGGGACACAGGCATCAGCATTTTTTGAAGCAGACAAGTTTGGGAACTGCTATGATATCATTTAGTGGCTGAGACCACTGGCTCTGGAATCAGACTTCCTGGAACCAAATTTTGGCTCTAACCTCTGATCTAGGGCAAGTATATTTAAGCTCTCTGCCACTCAGTTTTTTCATGAATGGGTTCTTGCTTCAAAAAGTTGTTAGATGAAAGTTAAATAATACAAGGAAAGCACTCTGCATAGTGTCCAAAACACAGTAAATACACAATAAATTGTATCTATTATTAATTCTAAGAATTTAGGAATTAAGATTCTGCTTCAAGTTCTGTGAATTAAAAAAAATGTTTAATTGTTAAGGAAGTGTTTACTATTAAGGGTTCCAACTGCATTTTTTTTTTTTTTTTGCATTTTTTTTTTAAGACAGGGTAGGGTCTCTCTGTTGCCCAGACTAAAGTGCAGTGGCACAATCGTTGCTTATTGCAACCTCCACATCCCCAGCTCAAGTGATTCTCATGCCTTAGCCTCCCGAGTAGCTGAGACTACAGGTGTTCACCACCAAGCCAAGCTAATTTTATTTTTTGTAGACGGGTCTCACTATGGTGCCCAGGCTGGTCTCGAACTCCTGGGCTATAGCAATCCTCCTACCTTGGCCTCCCAAAGTGTTGGGCATGAGTCACCACGCCTAGCCATGAAAATTATTAGTAAAATGTTAAACCTAGTTTGTAAACGTGCTCACATGTATTTTCATTGGTTTATGTATTTCGATCCTCCGTTCATTTCTAAAAGGATTTGAAGTTGCTTACATAGGCTACAATAGGATATGTCTGTTTTTAGATGAAAAACTCAAGGAGAGAGAAAAATAGTGTCAGTGGAAGGGAAAGAAAAATGGCATGAAACGAGGGAATCATGTATAATAAAGCCTAGCACAGTCGTATCTGGGCATTCTACCACAGAAAGAAAGACACCAGCTGTCCCTAACATTCGAATCTTTTAGAAGGAGAGTGGAGCAGGGGCTTCGTCACCATGTATTTCTTTGTTTTTATTTTCTCTCTCATAGGTCAGTCAATCACATGCAAATGTCAAGAGACATTTGTAGCCAGGCCGCAGACCGTACGGGTTTACACCGACAGGGCTGCGCCCGGCGGGTCTGTGTGGACAGCGCTGTCCTCAGTGACACAGGACGGGCTCGATGGCCCCCGGCGTGCTGACCACCACCTTGCGGACAGCCGTCTCGGGGACACAGAAACGCGGCCTGCGATGGGCTTCCCTGTTGAGAACGCTGCCGTTGTTGAGCTTTCTGGTCAGTGTTGCAGGGACCAGGTAGTTGTGCAGGTCCGTAAGCGGGACTGGAACTGCTCCTCAGTCTCCCTCCCCCGCTCCGGCCAGGTGGCGCTCCCGCCAGGTGGCGCTCCGGCCAGGTGGCGCTCCCGCCAGGTGGCGCTCCCGCCAGGTGGCACTCCAGACGGCGACGGAGCGCGTGCGGCCGGCGTCGAGGCCACCGGGGGGCGCAGGTTGGCAGCGGCTGGAGGTGGCGGGGCTCGGCGGAGAGGCGCCCAGCGACTCAGGCTGCCACACATGTTGAAATCTTTTTTAAAAAATCTCTCTGATGAGATCTTAACTGAGTTATACAAGGAGTAACAAGTTATAAGATGATGGAAAGCCAAATGGAATCCTATTTTTTTAAGTTTTTTCCCTCATCAAAGTTTACTCCTGATATGTGTTGCATGAAACCAAGTTTAAAAAGACAAGGAAGTTTCCAGTAAAGTACTATAAATGACTGAGTATAAGGCATGATTATCCCCAAAAAATTATTCTTCAGTAAAGGTTAAGCAAGCTCTTAAAAGAACCCATCTTAAGAGGTACTTTCTCAATTACCTTATTTTCTCAACAATGAACTAAGCAAGGAAAATGTTTTGGGGCCGGGCATGGTGGCTCATGCCTGTAATCCCAGCACTTTGGGAGGCTGAGGCGGGCGGATCACTTGAGCTCAAGAGTTAGAATCCAGCCTGGCCAACATGGTGAAACTCCATCACTACAAAAAATACAAATATTAGCCGGGCATGGCGGTGGGCACCTGTAATCCCAGCTCCCCAGGAGGCTGAGGCACGAGAATCACTTGAGCCCAGGAAGTAGAGGTTGCAGTGAGCCCAAATAGGGCCATTGCACGCCAGCCTGGGTGACAGAGCAAGACTCCCTCTCTTTCTCAGCCTCCTGGGGAGCTGGGATTACATGCACTTGCATGTCAGCTAATTTTTTTGTATTTTTAGTATAGACTGGGTTTTGTCATGTTGGCCAGGCTGGTCTTGAACTCCTGGCCTCAAGTGATCCACCGGCCTCTGCCTCCCAAGGTGCTGGGATTGCAGGCGTGAGCCACCACTCCCAGCC